CTTTCACGCTGTCAAAGTTGACTTGCTGGCTTGCACAGTAGTTCAACGTGACCCCCCTAACCTTGCATACTGTCCTTGTCCTGCCTTTAGTAGGTCGGACCAATTTGTAGGCATAGTTCTTTGGGCCACCTGACACGAACGTTGATATACTGTTGCCATCCAGCTCATCGCTCAGGTCGCCCAAAGTATCACCTAAAGGTGGATTCCAGCCACTAGCCTTGTGGACGTAAATGATACTTTCCGTGTCAAAGTACAGCACCCTCCGCTAAAGTGGCATCAAGTAGCTGTGGACAAACTAGAAAGATGACATGTAAATATCCGTATGATTAATTCATATTGAAACCAAATTATTACAAATTTATAATCTAAATAGCAATTTTAATAAATGCAATAGCTTACCTGTATAATTTGAGACGGGCTTGTGCTGTAACCCAGGCAGCGATGACGACATTGGAGTCAGGATGCGAACTGTGGAAGTCTTTCCCTTGTTCAGTGAAGACGAACGGCATGTTTTCGTTGACAATGCGGACATCTTTGACTTCATGCCGCTCGTCTCTCAACATTGCAAAGAATAGGTCTGGCTCTGTCACATAGCTCGCTTTTCCAAAACCTAGCCTTTGCCCAAACTTGCCCCAGTGGTTATTCAAACATCCTTTTGCCAATGTCCGCAGCCTAGGATTCTTCATTATCCGGTTGACATCGAGTGTAACTCCCTCTTTCTGATATATCTGATGGACGTAATTTTGGGGGTCGGTATATCCTTCAGGGAGGCCACTGGCTTCTTGTTTAATTTTTAAAAAGTTGTGTACGTACTTGGCAAATAATCCTCCTTGATGAGTATTTCTGCTATATTCGGGAAAATTATCGAAATGCCAGGCCTCGAATATGTTCAGAACCCTGTATCGACATTCGCGTACGGCTATTTGCACCTCAATGGTTGTGTAGGTTCCCACCCATGCTCGTTCCTCATCTGTATGACGACGGTCCCCATCTATCTGACCATCTGTACATGTTCTGCACAGAGGGAACATTAGTGTCCCACCAGCTCTGTAGGGTAATAAGGGATGGTACAGTTGTGATTGCTAGGAGGATGCAACACCGGATGAGCCCTTCTAGATGATTCAATTGCGACACATGGGGATAATCCACAACCTTGGGGTGACCTAGGGGGAATTTTCCGTACTTGCAAATGTATGGATACAAGGAACACACATCTACATATTTTATTTCTTCATCTTCTTGGGCAGTATAATGCAATTTTGTGGCGTTGGTTCTTCCTCCAAAGAATGCATCGCGAGGATCCAAGGGATCTGTCAGGTATTCAAAGGTGGATAGGAACCCTTTCAACTCTGGGTTTGTTTTCTGACTGTCTTTGAATTCACATTCCCATATCTGGACAATTTTCTCCACGTCTTTGTGTTGGCTCAGCAAAGCAAGGCGATACAGTGTTTTTTGATACAGTTCTCTCATGGTTGTTCCCAGGGTGGGATGTGGTTCACACCGTACAGCCTTGTAGCACTTTGTGCAGCCATGCCAGAAACAGCCCATCAATTCAAAGACAGTCTTGCTTTCCCTGTCGTAGCCATCAACACTGTAACGAGAACCATCCGAGCAAAGAAACTTTGCTTCCCCTCCATTGCGTGCATGCTCTATTTTGAGATCTTGATCCTCATGCATTAATCATCTTAACCATTGGAGACACTGTATTGAGTAGTGTCTCTCTGGTCTGTATCCATGAGGTGGTATGATGGCAATGGTTTGAGGATCCAGGTAGTTTTGTCTGAATACAAGCATACACGCCATAGGAAGGGAATTGCCTCTAGGAATGGATCCACGTTGTTTTGCCCGATGAATACGTCACGGAAAGCAGCAGGTCCTCTTCTAAGAATATCGACATCACTTTGGCAGTAGGACAGTATATCCTCAGACATGTTGTATATGGCATTGGAGGAAACTTTCTCTTCGTACCTTTTGATGAAAGTTTCCGTTCGCCCGAGGACATACTGTCGGGTCCATAGGTGTCCATTGGAGGATAGGCTCCTACATAATTCTTGTTGACTGTTGTGTTGAAGTGTCTTTGGAAATGATTTCAATGGCATGCTGAGAAAGTTCAAAGAATCTTTGAAGGTCAATCGTCCCACTTTCATCATCAGTATCTGCTGGCCTCTGAGTACAATCTGCGGAGCAACCACAATGTGTTTGTTGAAATATTGTAGCAGCAGATGACCATCATATCCTCGATAACTGTGAGCTATGACCAATACATCATCTTCGTCTTCCTCATCATCATCCTCCAAGACATTTAAGGCTTCCTGTAAAGCCGAGTTTGGAGCATCCCTCTTCCTCTTCTTGCTTCGTTTCTGGTCAACAAGGGTTAGAAGCCACCCTCCCATGTCCTCCAAATTGTTGTCTCCTCGAAATACTTTCGTTCTTGAAGGCCCCTCATCTTCCTTTCTCCAAGGACACCCTTCACACAGATTGGTAGATTTGTCCCCAATACACCTGCCACATCCAAGCTGTACTACACACAAGTTCGGGACATGCACTCCCGCCTCCTGTTGACATTCAAAGTCATAAAATATAAACTTTTGTTTTTCATGGGCAGGATCTACAGTGTTTGATGTAGTACCTTGGTCTTCCTTTATGGGCGTAATGTAGCACGGGTGTTTTGGGGTTAAGGCTTCCTTACAGTTCAGAACAGGTATGTGCAGAGGCATTGTGTTCTTGATTGCAGTTGGTGCAACGATGTAGGGATTGACAAGTACTGGTTGGAATACCAGCTTTGCTCGTATACATCTCTTGATGTCGCTGGTAACAATAAGTTGTTGGAAACCACCTCCTGCAATTGAGACATGGAATGCCTTCATTTTCACCTTTACCACAATAGCCAGGACGTCTACATTGATGACATCTAAATTCCCTGGTACAGCGATGGTCTTCTTTGTTATTGAAGCCCACGTCACAATCTTCACAATATTCACTCTAACCGGTAAAAGCTGCCATGAATGTAATCACATCATAGTGGCTATTGTGGTGGTAAAGGTGAATGATCTTAGAGGGGTTTTCCACTGCACTCTTGAACAAAAGCTTTTTGTAGACTTCTTGAGAATATACTTTCAGCTGGTATTCCGGTGCCAGGTAATCACTGAAAACAGTCCAAGTATCCCTACCGGTGCATGGCCCAGGCTCTATACCAATTTCACTAAACAGCCTAACTGCCTCCTGTTTTTGAACATCAGCCCTGTTGCGCCTGCGTATACAGTTGTGTTTGAAAACAGCATCGACGCTCAAGATCCTTTTGGAAGAATTTCTTCAACTTATGAGAATTCAAGCGCCATGTTCTTAGTACGTAGGACACCTATAAGACAATTTGAAAAGTCACATTAGCGTCGCGCTTTGAATATCGGACACTCGAACTGCCGGGGTCCCGTCTGTGCATTCAAAATGGGTTCGGTTTCCTTGATCTATCAGCTGAATTTATATCATGTCCGTACCATTTTGGAAGAGGGAAATCACAGTGTTCGCCAAAGACATTCATGTTTACTGTACCACCCTTTACTGAAGACGTGAAAATCAACACGCTCAAGTCTGCGCATGCCAGTGACAGCTTCGAACGAAGGGCAAGGTCACCACCGGAATAAGAAAAGACAACCGTGATCTACTCAACGTTTTACGCTAGAGATAGGGAATGTTATTGTTCACCTTTGGGATATTTTGGGCCACATAATCAGAAATCAGGCACACTTCTACGGAGTTTTCGAATGATTTGTATCGGAAATGTTCACTTTGAGTGATCTGGTTGTGCAGTTGTGAACAAGCAACTCCCGAAACAGTGCAACAAAATACGCTTCGAAGAGGACACTGATGGCACAACCGGATCATCCCAAGTAAGTCTAGATATCTGTCCAGATAGTTTAAACTGACACGCTTATCCTTTGACGTTAAATCAAGTTGGAAGTTGCGAAAGTAGTCGGGTGCGTCACGCTCATTGGGACCCTCGATCTATTGAACGGTAGTCGTACATTGTAAATGGATATAGCTCGATCATATAATGTCTGTGGAAGCTCAATGCATAACATATATAGAGTGCAAACCGAATTTGATGTGTGTGACTATCTTGTTTGGTTTAATAAAGTGTTTGTTAATATCTCTCGCTCACGTGAGTTTGCTTCAGTTCTGCATTGTAGTTGCAAAATGAATGACGTCTCGCATGTTTTTATGATTGAAAAAAATAGTCCCGGTGTGACAGAGGTCACGGTTATCCAATCAAAACGAATAAAACAAGGTCAACCTTGTACGACACACGTGTGACGTACGGATTTAGTATCTTACCACCTGTATCTTCACCACGTGGGTAATAAAGTTGAATACATTTGTGTTGAACTCTGATAATCGAATAAAAGTGACAAAATCCTTTTACTTTGCATAAGAAAGCAGAATCCATTGTACGGTTCTGACTTCATAAAAAGTATATGTTTGTGAATCTCTATCCAAAAGTGATGATACCAGGTGTTGAGGAAAGGGTGACCTTATCCTGGCCAAGTGGTGGCACCCATCACAAACAACATGGAAAGGCAAGTCAAGTATTCACCTGCAAAAGCAAGGATGGATGAGTGACCGGATAAAAGCCTGACTCCCGGGTGGAGACCAGCTATTGTTTCAGCTACAATTTGTCGCAATACGGGATCTACAAAGCCTGTGAGATAGCCTGGCGCTAAAAGCGTTGCCCTGTCAGGCAAAAGTCTAGTGTTCGATTCCCAACTACCGTACACTGTGATGAGCCTGTTTTGTTGAACCTTGTTCGGCAATGGCCAGAATATTGATAAAGCCGGCTCATTTCCTCTACTGAATCTTTTGGTAGCCCCTTCTTCAAACTTCCCCCAAAGCTAAGATTGTAACGCAATCAGAAAATGCACGATCACTTGAGCCTTCCTTATTCTATATTTCCAAATTAGGTAGATAGCTCTACATACAGCCGATACAATAATAAAACGCATGGAAATGTTGGAAAGATTTATTGTTCAACTGATCATTGCGAATCAGTGTTCATTTGTCTCTGTGATACGTTCCAGGTTTGGGTTCACAAACTCTGAAACATAAGAGATAAAGTTTTAAATGCATATCTATGTAACGTCTTAGATATAACTGATTTATGTGATATAAGCATAAGAAAGAATCACAGTTAACAGTGACGTGATGACACTGTTGTAGGACGTCCGGGACTGATATAACGTTCTGATTGCATGCAGCTTAATGTGGAAAACGTAGATACCTAATAAATATGTGAATAAGAGAAAATGCACCTTGGTATTTGAAAAAAAGAAAAATTGTTAAAGCAGTGGCAAAAATATATTCAAGGTATTTTCAGGAATGACCCATGAATGATGTATACTAACAGAAAACTGTGCTTCTTATAAAGTTCCAACAACAATACTGACAGATGCACATATAATTTCAGAATATATGCATTTTCCATTGTTCCGTTAGCATACAGAGGTTAACATTATTCGAATGATACAGTCAAATCTCCAAGATATGTGATTTGCTTCATGAGTAGAATACACACAGATCGATTGATAATTCGTCAAAAACATTGAATGCGTGTTCCATACAATATCCGTTATCATTCTGAATCTTGTTACCAGAGTACTGTGAGACAGACAAGATTTAGAAAATATGTCATAACATACCTTGTACCTAGTAGCCATAATAGCGCGATCTATAAGGTTTTTGGGGGTAAGGTGCATCAAATTCAATATGGCCACCGCCATATCCGCCATAACCGCCATAACCGCCATAACCGCCATAGCCGCCCTTGGGCCTGTAAAAGTGGGCCTGGGAAAGAGCCAACACCAATGCCACCAACAAAACAGCGAACAGGTTCTTCATCCTGACGATTACTGAGGGAAACGAAGAGTAATTATTAACAAAACAGTTTATCGTGATCAGTTTACAAATGTGGTGACATGCATCTCAATCGGTTAGGGTTTCTTTTTGTGCGAAGACAACCAGGTGCATTCTTTTCTCGTCATCAGTTAAAGGTCGGAGTGGATCTGGGGTGGGGTGTGGGGGTTGGGGGTTTGGGGATGGGAGGGTCTTATTCATAATTATTACAATTAACTAAATGTCATAGCTTTGATATGATTAACAGCCTTGGTTACAACAGTAACAACATGTTCTGACATTCAGTCTGATGTTGTTTAAAGGAGAAAGGGCACTGCAACAGTGTAATTATTGTATATAGTAATTATTTGTATGAAGCAAAGTTATCTCATTTAACAAAGTTGCAGGGCCTTGATCACCCATCCACAAAGAGATGCAGCGATCCACACATAACAATATCATATGTATAATATAATAGTAGTTACGAGTACTGAGTACTTACCAGTATCCAGACAAGATAGTGTTGTGTCAAATTATTGAAAATCCTCTCCTTTTATAGAGCAAGGGACAAACTTCAGCCTACATATAACTGAATTAATAACATATCAGTTCACGACAGTTGAGAGCACTTATTTGATTGATTTTATATTGCGCAAGGACACGATTCGTTACAAATGGAGGCCTTGGAAGATATTAAAAAAATTAATGTCTAACAAATCTTCGTACAGGATTGAATTTCATTCGCACTCACTCACTGATTGTTACGTCATTTATTAAGAACATGCAGAGTAAAGTTACCAAATACTGACCAAAAAAACCTAAACAGTTTAAAGGTTTTGGATACTAGTCTCAAATGATTTCCTATTTGATTGTGCCTTTTCTCCAATTTAGAGACTTCATAAAAGAGAGCTGAGATTATTTTTTCCAGTCTCATTTCAAATTGAACCTATGAAAAGAATGTTTAATATTTAATATAACTTTCTCATCATTCACTAAAACCTATCAAATTACACATAATGATCTGAAGTTGACCATATTGGTTTCATTTTATGTCACCGAAACATGTCAAACTTGAAAGTTACATGTCAACTTGTGTTAATCTCTCTTGAGTTGCGTGAGGGCACTGCGTAGAAAGTTCGAGTCGCTAGTCTAGCTGTATATAAGGGGACAAGGGTGTGTTTCTCTCACACTTTTAATCTCATCAGGACAAGCTTTCGTGTTTGCGTCACTAATACTCGCTGAATCCCTGCCAAGGCCCGTCTGGGAAGCTTGACGGCTGTCTCTGCTGGGGGAATATATACAGTAAACTACGGTTATAACGAACACGCTTATAACGAACTGACGGATATAACGAACTTACTTTTTTGGTGCCGACTATTTGCTGTAGTTATGTTGTATATATGCTTATAACGAACTACGGTTATAACGAACTAAAATAAGTAGTTCGTTATAACCGTATTTCACTGTATTATTATCAATGAATGTATCACCACTGTATTTTTGTATTTGATACTAACCACTACCATCATATACTGTACTGCACTATCTAAAACATTGACCTTGTTTTTGGACGGTGCTATTAAATTCTCACAAAATGCATATGTGGCTCTGTAAACTTCCCCTCTGAAATATTTGCCAGACTGAGGTAGGTTGTTTAGACTTAAGTATCCTGCAGAACATTAAAATATCATGCTGACAGCATTTTCTGTTAAGTGCTGTCTTTGTTGCTATTTTAAATTGTTGACTACATATTCAGGTGAGCTACAGTGCCGAGGCACTATCTTTAGAGACTAGATGGGTTGGGTTGATGAAAGAACACTTAAAAGAGTGAGCGACCCTTAAACCCTGTTAACTGAAACGCATACTGATCCGAAATATGACTGTTGTTTTACGTCACATTCATTTTCATTCCGGTTGTGTCACAGCACCATTTAACCAGGTGAACCTGGGCCAGCTAATCTATCATTACCACTAGAAAATAGCCCACAGTCATTGAGGTCATACACAGCAACCACGAGCCCCTTAATACTAGATTCTGAATACAAGCATGGGATAATAAGAACCTATTTTTACCCTAAAATTTCAACATGTTTTGTAGTGTAGTGGGCCTATTTTCACCCCGAAATGTCAACATGTTTCGTAGTGTAGTGGACCTATTTTTACCCCAAAATGTCAACATGTTTCGTAGTGTAGTGGACCTATTTTTACCCCAAAATGTCAACATGTTTCGTATTGTAGTGGACCTATTTTTACCCCAAAATGTCAACATGTTTCGTAGTGTAGTGGACTATTTTTACCCCAAAATGTCAACATGTTTCTAGAACGTGATCGAGCGTGTTGAGTTTAAAGCGACTGTTAATGGAATCGTCTAAGGAGACCTGCACTTTCAATATCGTCCATTATTCAATATCGTGTTGTGGGGTTGCTATTTTACACAAAAGACGTGTAATAAAACTACAAGTGGGGATGCTAAGACATTTTGTATCTACTTCAGTGAATGCGATAGATGGTGTGAAAGTAGCCCACATTGCATGTTTTTCATTTCTAAATGACCTTCACTGCATGTGCATGACATGTATTTGCAACGCAAAATAACCAAATAACATGCGAGAGAACCGTTTAAAAAGAATGTGATTAAAAGCTACGTAAAATTGTATCATAATCAGCTGTCATGGTCGTCATGGTTATTACACATAACACCGAATGATGCAGGCTTTAGACGTTAACTACTTTGTGAAGCCCACAGACTGATGCTGTCAAACAAAGAATCATCAACAAGACGAACCCACAATCATACGAGCCATGGCCTCAAGCCAATAGACCTGAGAAGAAGGTGAGTGAGTGAGTGAGTTGGGTTTAACGGCGCTTTTCACATTATTCCAGTTATATCGCGGCGTGTCAGCTTAATATGGGAGGAAAGTCCGAAGTGATGCAGGTCTCAGACGTTTACCACTTCGGTGAAACCCACGAGCACGGGTATGGTGCTGACAAACCTAGAAACATAATCGTGGTGAACCGGGATTCGAACCCACAATCATAGGTTTCTGGCGTGTCCAGGGGACGCAAATCTGCACAGCGAATCGCTGCGCCTTTGACGACTGGGCCACCCGTGCCCCCAAACACAATAGTAAAGGGGAGATGTGTGTCCCTTAGTCGTGATAGAGACATATGATTCTGGGTTCTAATCCCGGTTCGTCCTGATTGTTTCCAGCTTTGCCAGCATCGAACCCGTTGTCGTGCGCTTAATCAAAGAGGTGAGCCAAAGCTCACACTTTATGTAACTTTTTATAACTCACTACTATTGTGTTTGTTTGTTGATCCTGGTCAGAATTGGCCGTGAGGGGCGTAAGAGGCGATTATCGGATCGGTTGGCCAGGCTCTTAGTTGATGCATGTCATCGTATCCCAATATAGATCGATGTTCCGGTGTCAATCGCTGGATTGTCTGGTCCAGAATCTATTATTTACAGACCGCTGTTATATAGCTAGGCTATTGGTGAATGACGGGAACAACCCAAAATAAATCATTACTCTGTATCCTTGAGCCATTAGTGAAGAGTGCGACGTTGATCAATCAATTAATCAGTATACTGTCTGGGTGAGATATCCGTGTGAAACTGTGCATGGTATCTCAGTGGGCTAATACTCATTTTAACGTGCACGTGGCTATGTGAGTGAAGTAATGGTGGGTTTTTTCTTTATGTGGAAACACGAGTATTTACACCCCGAAAGGCTTTGTCAATACAAAAAAAACCTCCTCTCCTCTTCGTCAACGCTTTGCTGACAACGTGTTAGACGTCATTATGCACTTTCGACATTAAGAACGTTCTTGAACGATTACTCTGTATGCATTAAGGGACACACACTTTCCTATTCTGGAGGTGAGGGTGAAATGGGGAGGGGTGATTTCTGTTATAGATAATATATACTCTTCAAAAAAAGAAACGCAATACAGATACTTTAGGCCATAAAAGCAGAATTAGCGGACTAAGAGGTGCAAAATGAAGAGGTGTAATATGTTATAATGTCAGTAACAAATTTCCCGGATCAAAATGATCACAACAAGGACATGCAAACAATAAGTCGGGAAACACGTACGATTAGGCAAAATGTACCCTGTGCATTAACAAAGGGGCCATGGAGCTGCACGCACTGTCCGTGCAGCAGCACTATGAACGGTATTAAAGTGCAGGGTTTTTGATTGCCTGGTATTCGCGTCAATCGAACAGTGACAGTTCAACAAAATGCCAAGATTAACACAAGTGCAAAGAAACAACGCCATAGACCGCTTGCAGGCAGGGGAATCCCGATCAGCTGTAGCCAGGGTTTTCAATGTTGCGCCCAGCACCATCACAAGGCTATGGGATCGGTTTTAACAGCATGGGTCAACATGTGATCGGCCAAGGTCGGGACGACCAAGAGTAGCCACCCCTCACAAGAATGCTCCGACTGCGCCACCTACGTGAAAGGACGACCACAGCCACCTCAACCGCATCCCAAATACCCGGACTGCGCAAAATCTCCGACCAGACCGTACAAAACCGTTTAAGAGCAGCAGGTCTACGAGCAAGACGTCCTGTTCGACGCGTCATACTGCATTATTGTCGTCAACTGCCTCAACTGCGATGGAGATATGTCTGGTTCAACGACGAATCAAGATTTCTCCTCCGTCGAGGAGATGGAAGAGCACGGGTCTACAGACGTCTGGTGGACGTTACGCCGGAAACTGCGTACAGAAAGCGGACAAGTTTGGTGGGGTAGCGTTATGATGTGGGCGGCTATCTCTCATCATGGCAGGACAGGTTTGGTCCATATCCAGGGCACTCTTAAAGCTCAACGATACATCAACGAAATTCTCCGAACACAACCGCCCAATTGCAGCCAACGGCAACGGTGTATTCCAGCAGAACACGCTCGACCGCACACACCACGGATCACAAGAACCTGTCTATACAACAACATGTTCTCCCTGGCCCACAGATCCCAGGATTTGATCCCGATAGAGCACATGTGGGATGAATTGGAGAGACGGCTACACGTTGCAGGCCGAGTGGGCTACCATGCTCCAGGATGTGATTCGCATACTCGTCTCTTCCATGGGTAGGAGATGTCAGGCCGCCATTGATTCCAATGGGGGATATATGCATTATTGATGGTAACTGACCTTCACCTTGGGCTTTTCCCACGTACCGATAACTGAGACTACAATCACCAAGTGTTCTCTCCACAACATTTTGGCTCAATACCTTGTTCAGTTCCTCGTATTAATGTATTTTCCTACCTCACACAAATCTGGCTTTGCGTTTCTCTTCAAAAAATAAAGAGTATATTTATTGTCACTATGCTTTAGTGTAAGGAGGAGACAAACAGTTATTTTGTTAACAGAACATTCTTTTCGGGAATTAATTTTGGGAAGGCGAAACCTAAGGACATTTTATTTTGATAAATGATTTTTCTTTTTAAAAATCACAATATATTAAAAGGTCGGATGCTAAATCAACCATCAAAGCTATAGATTTTATAAAAGTTGCTTTATTTTTCGATCTGCATGTGGTGGTATAACACTCTGAAACTGGAACCTTCCACCAGGCGTTACCAACTGAGGCATCTGAAATATAAATACATTGTTAGATGATGTTCATATCTCATCACCCCCTCCCTCGCCCTTACAACTGTGGTATGTGTCCCTATGTGGGAAACACTTTGAGCTCTGTATAGCACCATGGTAATCACACTCATCTCGATCCCAAATTCTGCCAGCATCGCACCGCGTTCATACTGGACCTGGGTTAACTTGGCACGTGACTACCAAATTGTTCAACACAATTCGATATAACCTTTAATATAAAATGTGGATCCATATCAAATCCTTCACTTAATTAGTTTTCATACTTTCAATTACGTTATTAAAGTACTCACGGAAATTAAACAAAACTGTGTTTTCAATCTCAGATGCAGTTAATATACAAAATATATAAATATTCAAACAACTCAATTAGTACTTATTGGGCTTTGGCACAAATACAGCGTATCAAAGGTTTTTATGTCTTTTTACACGTAAAAGTGTGTAAAAATATGAACAAAACAGACTATTGTGAAACTGAGCATAACCAGGTGTTAGTAGATCAAGGTGAATGTCCATGACCCATGACACCTTGACGACAGCTGAAAACAGGTGCTTGAAACCCACGTGCATGTGATTTGTCAGTGGTTAGTGATTTGTGAGTGGCATTGTAGGATAGTGAATCATCGTCAAAATATCAGAACGTAAAAGTAACATATTCCCTTCTCAAACAACAACTTACATGTCATTATTATTATGTACATAAACATAGCTGTTATTTTTATTGTTGTTTTGATAACTTTTTTTCCAGGCTATATTGGAAAATGCCTATAGCCTGTTTCTGCCATGTCAATTCAGTTTTATTTTTGAATGTTGAAAGTGCCTACAAATTACCTCCTGTAAAGTACATTTTGTATTGAGCACTGAGATAAAACTAGCAAATCCGACTAGTACTTTTCCAGTTGTTTTGTTATTTCCTATATACATCTACGTAATGCTTTGTGTCGATTATCAAATCCTAAAAAAACAGGTTTTTTTCATTTCCATGAGTACATGTACTTTAGTTTTCAAGTTAAATTTCTAAAAATCAGCCTTCTTGTCGTACTATCTACGATGGGTGGCTAAAAGTTCTGAACCTAACTATAATGGACTGCGTTGATACAACACACTTCTGGAGTTCCTGGATCCTACTGGTGCAGAACACTTCCCCCTGGTGGTGTAAACGTCCTCCTCTACAGAAATGACGTTATAATGATTTACATAATGCCAGCCAGACAGTTCGGAGGAGCCGGAAATCTGGCGGTACCAAATCTCGTAAATAGGGAGGGTGTTCAATGAGTTCACAGTCATGTAGTGCAGACATTGCGACAACAGTCTAGTTTACAAGTGCATAGTCTTGATGTACAACCATCGAACGCCGCTACCCACCCTTAAATAGTGGCAAAGTATCATGGTTCACTACGGGGGCACGGGTGGCCCAGTCGTCTAAGGCGCCGCGATTCGCTGTGCAGAGTTGCGTCCCTTGGGCACGCCAGAAACCTATGATCGTGGGTGCGAATCCCGATTTGCCCCGATTATGTTTCTAGGTTTGTCAGCACCATTCCCGTGTTCGTGGGTTTCACCGAAGTGGTAAACAACGTCTGAGACCTGCATCACTTCGGGCTTTCCTCACAAATTAAGCTGACACGCCGTGATATAACTGGAATACTGTTAAAAGCGGCGTTAAACCCAACTCACTCACTCACTCAGGTTGCACATATAATGTTTCATGAAAGAGACACTTTAAACACATGGTTACCTTCTGACATGTGAGGTGAGGCGATCATCCCAGAGTGGCCTTTGGGAGAACAATGCCATAGGTTTGTTGTGGTGCTGCAGCTGCTGCTGCTGCTGCTGCTGCTGCTGCTCTTCTTCTGCCAGGATGGTCTAACTCGATATCTCCAAACCTGTACACCGGTCGGTAGATTAGGCTTCCAGATGGAGCATTAGCATTGAAGCTTACTCCAGTACCGACACCAACCCCAGTACCAACACCAACACCGGCACCGGTACCAGGACCGCCACCGACACCGACACCGACACCGACACCAGCAGCACCAGCACCAGCACCAGCACCAGCACCAGCACCAGCACCACCTGCACCAGCTCCGACTCCAACTCCAACTCCAACTCCAGCTCCAGCTCCAGCTCCAGCTCCAGCACCTGCCCCAGGTCCTCCTGCTAAGTAAGCGAGTCCAGGTCCAAAACCTCCTGCACCAGCTCCAGCTCCAGCACCTGCCCCAGGTCCTCCTGCTAAGTAAACGAGTCCAGGTCCAACACCTCCTGCACCGGCTCCTCCGGACAGGAAACCAGATGCAGGTCCACCTTGTGCGGCAGCAGACCCAAGCCCATTAGCCTGAATGAGGGTTCGCGGTGCGTTGATGAAGAAGTATGGACTAATGCTACGGGAAAAGGCCCTGCGACCTCCTGTAACGTCGGCTACGTTGAGGTAAACTCTCTGTGTTTGTGTTTGGGATTGTGGGGGACGAAAGATAGTGGGGAAGAGCGTTCCGCGCAGTTGGGGTGATTGGAGGTAGTGCTCGCCATGGTAGGTAGCTGCCACCAGTGCGGGGAGGAAAACGACAAGTGCAGCAATCATCTTTTACTTTTTCTGCAAAATATAAATGTTGTCATTCAATCAATACATATTACAGTAAACTACGTTCATAACGAACACGCTTATAACGAACTGACGGATATAACGAACTTATTTTTAGTCCCGACCATTTGTTTTATATATGTTGTATGTATGCTTATAACGAACTACGGTTATTACGAACTAAAATTAGTGGTCCCCTCGAGTTCGTTATAACCGTAGTCTACTGTATTAATATATAACGGCTGGCAGATGTGTCATTCTTATTCCATATGTAGATGGTTAGATAAGTCAGTCATGGACTAGCATTTTGCTAGAAATTGTAAGGGTTATAACATCTACTTGCACCTTCAATAGTTCTCAAAATGGGTATAAAGGCCGCTTTGAACAGTAATCGGTATCTCAATCTGCGGAACAGGCCGTCCACAACAACAGGAACGCTTTATCAGAAACCAGGCTTCAAGAAGTCGGTGTTAACACATTGCATAAATCCTCAACGCGGATTTACAAAGTGTGCTCGCCGATTTTACGTTTATCACTCCATAAAGTCAATCCTTAAATAATAAGTATCAGACTTTCCAGAGAGAAACGTATCTCTTTAAACCTCTATGGGCTACTGAACGGTTGGTAAATTAATAGGCATTTAATTTTCTACTTCATGGTTCCCTAAAAATAAGGAATGTGAAAAGAAATTTGTAGTTTGTTGTTTTTTATCAACGGCGTGCATGACAATGAGGCTGACACACATTACATTACAAACGGGCGGTGTGGTAGTCTAGTGGTTAAGGCGTTCGCTTGTCGCGCCTCAGGACCGGGTTCGATTCCCCACATGTATAAAGCCCACGACTGTTGACCCCTGCCGTGATATAGCTGGAATATTGCTAAAAGCGGCGTAAAAACTCCGTTACAAACCGCTTCCGTGGCTGGGTCATACAAGTGTTACCTTGCAATGCCTGCACAGGTACTGGGGCGGTCGGGTAGCCTAGTGGTTAAAGCTCGTCACGCCGAAGACCCGGGTTCGACCCGACATTTCTGGTGTCCCCGCCGTGATATTGCTGGAATATTGCTAAAAGCGGCGTAAAACCATACCCACTCACTCATTTAACAGGTACTTCTAGGACTGGGTGGCATTGTCCCATGTGAACGCATTATAAAATTTTATTTTCCTGTCACAGTTAACCAAAAATGCCCAAAGTAAACTGGAATATTTTAAATGTTGTTTTTTTTTATCAGACCTACCGATGTTGTAATATTCTGAATAAAAATAGAAAAAAATGCAGAATGTAATATTATTTGTATTTCAATAACAGGACTCATTATCCGAAAAAATAAAATCTATATGTTCACGAGCGGCGTATGCGATTTATCTTTACAGATTATGGCATCAAACACGACCAGCTCCTAGCTAGCTTAAGAAGACAACTCTACAAAGCGAATCTAATGATGGAGGGTTCGAATTCCAAATTCGCCCTGGTTATCACCCGTTGTCAGCATCATACCCGTGCTCCAGGATTTCACCCAAGCATACGTCTTAGACCTGCATCACTTCGGGCTTTCCTCCCACATCAAGCTGACACGCCGTGATGTGACTGGAATACTGTTCAAAACGGCGTTAAACCCAACTCACTCACGCAGTTGACACGCCACGTTACAACTGAGATACCGCCCAGTGCGGCCTTGAACAAACAAAACTCACCCACTATATCACGAGGTTCAAACCACAAAAGACTCTAAGACCATACCCAACGGTAGAAACTAACATTTTTGGTCCACTAGTCCTTGTAATGATAATATATAGCAAAACCCCTAAAAATGACAAATATCTACTAGTCCTTATGATACCTTAACTATTGGGCAGATTTGCAAGGACTATGACTAGTGCCAATTTCTAACCCTGATACCACACACAACAAAAAGCTTACCGATTTTCCTAGCCGGTTACAGGAGTGACCACAATATGGGGCTTGTGACAAAGTCGTTCGTTTATATGGGACCCGGCTGAGATTGGTGCCATTTTTCGTTGATTGTCGTGATAAATTGGCCTTTGGTGTAAAGCTATAAAAAAAACTTACCTTAAGGATAGCGTGTCTTCAGTTGACGTTTACGCTTCAGTATTTGACATAAGCTGAAAGATATATTCCCATAATAGTTGATTTACGTTAAACAGATTGGTCAGATGTAATGAACGATTAGTGTTGTGTCAGATTTAGCCACTGGATATAATCTTTCCAATCAGTTATCTTGACTTACTCTACTCACGGGGAATCACACTGTCATTTCCTGAAGCTAAACATATGTTCACGTTCATGTGCATCAATAAATGCGAGCAAAATTAATTTCTTCGCAATTTCATCTCTAGACGTTAATTGGACAATATCCACAGAATAATTTATAGTTAGTTTGTATATTTATTTGCTGTAGAATCCCAGGTATATGGCGGCAGTTTGTTGTTTATAGAGCATTTACAGCACAGACAAAGTTAGTCTTACTCTTGCTTTTTGTGTGAGACATACTGAATTGAATGTTACCTAATGGATAATACCGGGTGTTCGCGAACAAATGAGCCACCGGTGTCACAAACACATGCAGAGGCATGCCAAGGGCTCACCTGAACATATAATACAAGAGAAAATAAGAAATATTTTGTTGTTAATATTAACAAAACTGTTTTTAGCAAAGAATATTACTTTATTGGTGAATGTAATGTAAACTTTATTAATAGATTGTGACGCTTTGAAGAAATCGTTTGAACAGATGTGTATTTTGCAAATGTAAAATATTTTATTGTGCATGATTTCAACAAATTCATGTCAAAAACTGTAATGACTTATATTTCAAATTATTTCCTTAATTGCATTCCCTAAATTAATTTCACAAATTGCAACATATATATTTTTCTGGTAAATATTAAAATCCTTTCTCTTGTGCAAAAAAAATGCACAATTACATATTTTTATAAATTCTATTTCAACATTAATTTCATGTCTATTTAAATACAAAACTTTGCACAAATAATTATTCAAATAATTATTTTTACCTTTTGTTATTATCAATACATGTTTATAGCAATATGTAATTGTACTACATTATTCAAAGCTCATAGAATCATCTGCAATTACTGTAAATATAGTAAGGCCACATTGTTTAATCCCCTATTACTTTGTTAAAATATGGAGTAAGATATCTTCTGATCTCCTGTATCCGTTGCGCCATACTCAAGAGCATAAGAAACTAATTATTGTTATTGATTTATGATAAATTGCTTGCGCCATCGTGATTGCATCTTGATTAAACGTTTTGAAGATTTCACCACGTCCCCACTTTTTTTTGCAGCCGGTGGCTACGACTCTATGTCAAATTATTTGATCAGGGTTACAGAAACAAAGCTTTCAAACAGTGCTTGTTTTTAGATTTGGTGTGATGCTATTTTCAACTGACATTATTGAAGGCTCTGTCCAGGAGGTTAAAGTATCGTAAAATTATTGTCCCCCTGTGTGACACGTAATCCTATCGTAATCGATGTAACTATCATCAACCAGGGTTTTAAAGCCAACTCATTGCTGACTATTTTTTAATATTGGCTAGTAATGTGCACAACCACAAGAAGCTGAAGTAATGACGTAAATCCTGCTGGGGTATCATGTAGGAAGCAGAGGTACTGTAAGTCCCCATGATCCCAAACAAGGTGGCCTAGCTTTGGTTACTCGTGGTCTATAGCCCGTGTTTTAAAGCTGTAGACATGATATCGTTATGCTCAAATATGTTTCATTTTAACTTAAATTTTAATTTTTAATTTTAACTCACTTAACAAATCTTACCTATCTATTCAACATTCTTCGAAGTCTTTAGCTCGTGGGTTTCACCGAAGTGGTAAACGTCCGAGACCTGCATCACTTCGGGCTTTCCTCCCACATTAAGCTGACACGCTGTGATGTAACTGGAATAATGTTAAAAGCGGCGTTAAACCCAACTCTCTCACTCACTCGAAGTCTTTTAACTGTTTATTAAAACCTCATTGATTCTTGAAAGGAAAATGACAAATCACAAATTGCACCATTAACGTCGGCTCCGTTGAACAATGATAACCATAGGCTATTGTGGAACATCATAGTCATGTGATATATAATAATGATCATAGGGTCGACAAAGGAGCCAGAAAAACATGTTAATTTTAGTAAAAAAAATCTGTTTTGCCAACCCGAGCAGACATTGCGATTTATAAAAACAATAGATCAGCAAGGACATGAGCACATGAAACCGCCAGTAATTCAGAGTGACAAGAAAACTTCCAACAGACAACTATCCCTTTATATGGAGCATATTGTCCGCATATTGTCTACATTTTACAACTTTTGGGAAACATTCGAGCATGCTCTTCTAAGAGTGAACATTTAAAAGACTCTTAGTCGACTCTTACACAAAGGTATGACTGTTAGTACGACGGTGGCGCATTAAGACACCAGATGATTGAAAACACCCTATGGGAACTTGCTCCAAAAGTCAACCAAAGATAACATTACCGGTTCTGGTCCTGTCGTAGGCGTCGACCAATCTCTTCCCAGACATGTTCTGTTGGCGAGAGGCACTCGTGAAGAGCAACCTCCTCGTGGTGAGTGCTGGGTAACGCTAATCGCTCTTCCCCCGTGTGGAACCGGGGCAGAATATTTCCACAGCACCCCATTGCTGGTCGTAAGAGGCGACCAAAGTGGGCAGCCCGTTTGCCGTGGGTTGCGTCCCTGTGTCGGCGGAGGACGGGAGTCTGGTAGTTGAGGGCACTGGTTCCTGGAACTGTGTTCCTTTGCCCAACACACTACTTCGACCCTTACTTCGCCTAGACGGGTGGTAAGATGGGCCCGGTCTTATCAATCGGCTGGTCATGCCAGGCCCTGTGCGTAATATTGTAAATGCACACATGTGTTGTATTTTGATGTATATTTTGGCCTTGGCCATGCATAATTTGTGTGAATTAACTATTTTGGATTATATAAATTGCCTAGAGTCTAACGCCAGAAGGCGGTGGCTCATGGGCCAATCTGGTGATGTTGACCTCCAAATTCAGTATGTATCCGATTACTTGTCATGGGCCGAATCAGCCTGGCATTTAATTTGGTATACAAATATTGCTATTTGCGTCATACTTGCTGGAGTATATCATCCCTGTATCCCTGGTGTTTGCATGTTGGAGTTCCGGTGCAACAAAACATCGCTCTTTGTAGCACTCCTTGGTGGGTGGGGAGCAGGGGTGCTGAATTACTATATTTCACCATGTCACACCAAAACCCTGGTTCAACCCGTTCCAAACGAAGACATGTCGATCTTGATGACATTGATCAAAGTGAACAATTATCTCGTGGCTTAGATTCCTGGTCCCGTTTTATTGTGATTGAGGCAGCTAACAAACAACCTATTAAGCTAAATCCATTCGCCATTTCCAAAGCTGTTTTAGGAATTTGCGGAGAAGTGAACAATGTTACACGTCTTCGCAGTGGCTCTCTTCTCGTTGAGTGTTCACGGAGACAGCAATCTCTGAATCTTTTGTCTGTAACTACATTCGCAAATATTGAGGTTGCTGTGTCCGTCCACAAAACCTTGAATTCTTGCCGAGGCATTGTTCGAGACAGAGCTCGCTGCCTGTCCGACATGTCAGAGCAGGAAATTACTGATGAACTGACAACTCAAGGGGTAACAGCAGTTAAGCGTTTTACTATGAAATCGAGAGATGGTGACATCATCCCGTCAAACACTTATCTGCTAACATTTGCTCTTTCGGCCCTTCCTAAGTCAATCAAAGCTGGTTATCTCAACATCGGAGTGGAGGTGTATGTCCCCAATCCACTCCGTTGTTTCAAGTGCCAACAGTTTGGACATGGTTCTAAATTTTGCAATCACTCTGTAGTCTGTCAGCGCTGTGGCGAAGGCCATGACAACACTGACTGCACGGCTGAAGTGAAATGTGCCAACTGCAAAGGAACACATCTGGCTTCATCAAAGTTATGTCCTGAATGGCAAAAACAGACAAAAATCCTGAAGCTCAAACATGAGAACAATATCTCGTTTTACGAGGCTAAGAAGCTCATTGAAAATCAATCTCCACAAACTCCACTAACCAGAACATATTCTGCTGCTGTAGCTATCGCTACTCCTGCAAATCCTACAAAAACATCCATTTCTATCCAGACAGATTTGACATGGATTACATCCGATCAACCTGTTAACATATCTTCTGTAGTAACTTCACATACATCTTCCACTCAAACAGTAAGCCCATCCGAACCTTTGACTGCTGAAGCTGGTGTGGAGTCTGTTGCTAAAGATCCAGAGGCTGTAGAACCAGCTACTATCGAATCTGCCGTTGTTACTCTGACAAGAAAAGAAAGAAAAAAATTAAACAGAAAACAAACTCCTTTGAAATCCTCGTCTTCAGAGGTTTTTCTCAACAACCCCTTTGATGCTCTTGACATGGATGTCACCCCATCTCCAGAGACCAGAAGGGGTTCTTCTTCCTCACATTCTCGTGAGCGTTCACCAATTGAGCCACCGTGACTCAATCATCACATTTAATACAGTGGAACTGTAGAGGACTTAGGAATAATTATAACGATTTACAACTCTTAATTCAAGATTTTAAACCATCAGCGTTATGTTTACAAGAAACATACTACAAAGAAACCGACACATTTGATATACGAGGTTATTCCTCCTACAATGTATTTTCACCTCCTGGTGCTAAGGCCACTGGCGGCTCTTCAATCTTCATAAAACAAGGTGTTATCCATAGCCCCGTCCATCTTGCAACCCCCCTTCAAGCTGTTGCAGTCCGTGTGACTCTGCACATTGTGTTTACATTGTGCTCACTCTATATTCCACCATCTTCTTCTCTCCGACAGTCTGAACTTCAAGCTCTCTATGATCAACTCCCAAAGCCCTGTATTATCATGGGCGATTTAAATGGACACAATCCACTTTGGGGTAGTGTTCAGACTAATAACAAGGGAAAACTTTTGGAAGATTTCATT